TGGGTACTGCAGGATGTATATCATCATTCTCCATTAATGGTTTTATGGCATAAGACCATAAAGAAAGTCTGGCTGAACGGTTCAAGCCTTTGTGACAACAGCCCTACGAACCTTTTTGGGAATGGCTGGCTGTGGCCGCGCCATATCAAGGATTTAGCCTTCAGTGGGGTTTGGAAAACTCTGATTCCCACGGCCTCAAGCCTAAACCGAAATAATTCGACACGCCAAACTCAAAACCCTGAGTTCTAAACCCTGTTAATACCATGCTCGCTAGCTTTCACTAGGTTCGCGGCCTTCAATAAAACACCTAGTTCCACACTCCAACTTCAAATATCGTAAAACTCGTCACCCGCAACAAAAACACCTGGTTGGCTGGAGATGGCCGCCTGCAGGTCTAGTATACCTATACTATTCTGGTGGTTCCTTATTATTAGTATAGTATACAGGGCCCCAAAACCCTATTCCAATTATTAAGCCTAAATCCTACACCCTAAACCCTAAACGCCCCAAACCCTAAGCCCCAAAACCCCAGCCTAAAGCCTAGACCCTAGCATCCCAAAAGGAGCACTCCATGCGGATACGCGTGAAGATCACCGTGCAGAAAGAGGCGCTGCGTTTTTCGTCCGGTGTTTGCAGTCGTCTGGGTTTCGTGGTTCCACGTAGAAGTTTGCTTTGAAGCTGGACTTATCATTATCTCCGTGCTTCCGTTCGTCTGTTTGCCTTTTAAAACCCTATGAGTCTGTAAACTGTCTCTTGAGGTGGCGCAGTCCAGCGTCCTGCAGCAGACGATGGTTGTCGAATTCCAGATCGTCAACCAGCAATGTGAGGATTGCCAGAAGCCGAAGCCCCAGCTGAAACCCCAAACCCGAAACCCTTAAACCCCTAATTCTCAAATCCCTAAACCCCTGAACTTGCCCTAAACCCTAAACCCCTAAACCTTAAATCCTAAACCCCTAAACCCTAAGCCCCTAAGCCCCTAAACCTCCTAAACCTTAAACCCCAGCGCAGATTTCTCGAGGCGGGCATTGGGATCTATCATATGTGCCTTTATTTGACTCCTAACGGGTTTTTGGGTTTAGGCTTTAGGTGGGCCTTTGGGATAATTGTCGAATTTCCTGTATCTGGCTCAAGAGGACCTTGTTCACGAAGAATTCTTAGAGGCATAAACCCTAGTTCTGACTCATTTCGCTTGAGAGCGTTGAGGGTTTAGGTTCACCGTTTAGAGTTTTACGGTAAGGGTTTAGGGTTTGAGCTTGTGCGTGGCCGGGGTTGGTCATTGAGCCCTCTTGCAACGCTTTCAGATGGGTACTTCTTTGGACCCCCAAATCCTATACCCTGAACCCTAAACCCCCTTGTTTCGAGAGACGCCTCTGTTGCAGCTTCCGGTGGCTTGGTGGTGTTGCGTTCATACTTCTTTAAGGATAACATACTTCTTTAAGGATTACGTGTAGGGTTCAGAGGGCCACAGGAGCGAATCATATTTTTTCTTGATGCCTGGCATCTTGTGATTTGGAGAGGTCTGCAGACGGTGCAAACGATTGACTTGAAGGTCCATATATAGAGGCCTACATATTTATCTATACCATTTTGGGGGCTTCCTATTTTAATTGTAGTACAAAGGACCCCAAAACCCTATTCTAATTATTAAGGCTTGGTGTTGATGTCCTTCCTACTGTCTGGTGTATTTTATACATGTGCCTGAAGCCTTAACCCTCAAAACGCCCTTGCGCCGAGGTCTTTCACGCCCCATGCTTACAACGCCATCGTCCAGGTGCGGCAAAAGGTTCCACACCGAAGGAGCCACCAGTGCATGGTGGTTCGGGTTTACGCTTTAGGGTTTTGGGTTTAGGGTTTAGGGGCCATTTAGGGGTCTTAATAATTACCGATATTGTTTTGGGGGCATGTTATGATTATTGTATAAAATACCCCAAAACCCCGTCCTACTAAGGCGCAAATCGAAAATTTGAGGTCAAAAATCTTTGAGGCTACAGCATTCCGCAAATGCCAAACTCAAGCTGCACACACTGTCTTTTGTGAGCAAACACATTTGTTCGACCCCGAAAGCGCTATGGTTTATCATAATATGAGATTTTGGAGACAGGTGTTCATACAAGCCCCTTTGCTTGCACTGCAGCTTAAGGATATGCTTGAGCAGTCGACTCAAGCCAATCACGATCTGTATGGGCCTATGACCATCTTTCAAAGAGACCTAGATTGGCTCTGCTGTCGCTTTTCACCTGATGCTGATGCACTTAGCAATAATGCCAATGATTGTATCCTATTCACTGAACCTGATCAAAAGAAATTTGAGCATTTTATTCGTGAGCAGATTAGAATGCGATTCTTTCAGCAGCTGGAACAAAAACATTCGAAATGGCATGGTGTTGTAGATGCTGACGTACACGCAACGACAAAATTGCTTCGCAGTTTAGAGCCATCGTCGCCTTTTAGGAACCCCGTCATCAGGATGTTATCTGATGCACATGCTACTCCGTACAGACTCTTTCAGATGGGCATCAGGACCACGCCGCATTGCCCATACTGTCTTCATGAAGAAGCCAATATTAAGCATATTATTTGGGTCTGTCCTCGTTTTGCTGAGCTTAGACGCTCTTGGCCTCAGGATCTTCTTGACCGTCAGCAATGGCCTGAGTCCTCCAAATCGACTCTCATTTGCTCGCTTTTGCTTCCTGAATCCACTCGCAACAAATGGCATCAACTGCAATTGCTTGTCGCGCAGCTTTTGTACCAGTGGATGGAAATAAGCAGAAAT